GGAGAGGAGAGAGACCTTGCAGAAGAGCAGAGATGAAATAAAACTGTTCTGCTCCTAAGTTTAATATGTTGTTTTCCACTGATGACACAACAGAGAGGAAGAACTGCCTAGATCTCCTTGCATTGGGACCGGGATAATTCATTTCCTTATGTCTAAGGGCTGCAGCAAGGGACAAAAAGATGGATTTCAAGAGCAGACTAAGAAAACCATTTTGAGGCCCTGAAAACAGAAACCTGGCTAACAGTCACTAGCTGCAGCACCAGAGGTGACACAGCAGGATTTGCAGAGACCTGCCAGGTAGCTCAGTGAAGGGGGACCACATACTGCAGCCAGGGAAACAGGCCACCTGCACATCTTTACCTCTCCCTCAGCCCCCTAAAAGCAATCCCCCATTCTAACTCCAGCTCTGTCCCAGACCACCTGCTATAGTCTCCCTTCCTCCTCGCTGCTTCCTTCTTCAGTAGATCACACAGAAACTCAGAACTTCCTTCTCCCAAGTCATTGCTTTATCTCTGTCTCTATCATCATCAGGCATTCCCTAGGAAAGCACAGGCCATGGGATCTAGAGAAGCTCATATGCTAACTACGTATCTTCACCTCTCTCTCATCTTCTCCAAAACCAATTTAAAGTCCTCTTACCCAGCTCCTTCTTCTTTGTACTCATCTTACTTTCTGTCCCCCAGTTCAAGGGGGCTATGCAGAACCTGACAGAACATGGTGCTTTCCTCCCTCCTGTGAACACTCAGTTCAAATGGCTAGAAACACATTTTGCCTTGAACTCCTAGTGGCCACACCTATCAGGACCCCAGAAGAACTTTCTACCAGGCAACACACAGCCACCACACTCACTTAAGCACCACAGAGAGCAACAAAAACCAAAAAATAAAACACCTACCCAACAAAGACATGACCAGATATCAGTGCCTAGAATTACAGTCTTCCCAAACCCAAATGCCTAGACACTAGTGTAAAAATATAGTAACACACAGACAATTTGTATCTACTAGAATCCAGCAACTCTACCATAGCAGGCCTCAATGCTGCAACATGTCTGAAACACAAGGAAAATACAGACTTTAAAACACCCTTTATGACTATAATAGAGGTCCTTAAATAGGAAAGAAATAAATCCCTTAAAGAAATATATGAAAATATAAGTAAACAGTGGGAGGAATTGAATTAAACCATTCAAGACCAGAAAGAGAAAACAAAATTAATGAAACCCAAACTGAGGGAAATCTGGAAATAAAAGATAAGGTGTTCAAACGGGAACTTCAGAGGCAAGCTTCCCAACAGAATACAGGAGATGGAAGAGGGACTCGAACCTTGGAGTCATGATAGAAGAAATGGATACATCAGTCAAAGAAAATGTTAAATCTAAAAATCTTCTGACATAAAGCATCCAGGAAATCAGGACACTATGAAAAGGCTAATCAAAGAATAACAGGAACAGAGGAAGGAGAAGAAACCCAAGTCAAAGGCATGGAAAATGTTTTCAAAAAATTTATAGAAGAAAATTCCCCTAACCTGAAGGAAATGCCTATCAAGATACAAGAAGCATACAGAACACCAAATAGATTAGACCAAAAAAGAAAGTCAGCTTGTATATAGCAATCTAACCATTAAACATACAGATAAACACTTTCAGCAAAGTAGCTAGATACAAAAATTAAGCAAAAATTAGTAAATAAATAAAAAAGAATCAGTAGCCTTCCTGTATATAAATGGCCAATGGAATGAGAAAGAAATCAGGGAAACAATACCTTTTACAATAACCTCAAATAATATAAAATATCTTGAGATAACTCCAGCTAAGTAAATAAAAGTCTTGTATGATAAAAACTTTAAGACACTGAAGAATAATTAAGACCAGCCAACCAAGTCAATATGATTTGACTTAAAGCCCACTCAATGAGATGGAACCCATACTCACCCCTGTCTGGGTGATCATGAACCTGAGGCTAGATAGTCTGGGGACCTACTGCTCTAAATACTGTTCTAAATTTTTTCTTAAGCAGCAATAAAAGACTCCTAATTATATTCTGATATACTCATAGATTAGTGCCTTGCTCATCCATCAACACAGATGCTTCCCCCTAATAGGAACAAAAGCAGAGACCCACAGCCAGATAAAATGCAGAGAGTGGGAGAATTTGGAACACTCAGCCCCAAATAGATGTCTCCATCAAATCCCTCCCTGAAGGACAAAGGGAATCCTGCAGAAGAGGGGGCAGAAAAAGCATGAGTGGAAGAGGACGGAGGACCCAAGAGCACAAGGGCCCTAAATCCACGTGATCAAAGCTCCTGTGAGCTCACAGAGACTGAAACAGCGTGCACAGGGCGTACACGTGTCTACACAAGGTCCTTTAGGTATATCCTAGTGGCTTCTAGTTTGGTGTTTTTATAGGATTTCTGAGTGTGTGAATGAATGTGTCTCCAATTCTT